CCATATATACTGGAGAGGCTGTGGAGAAAAGGGGACCCTCCTACATTGTTGGTGGAATGTAGTTTGGTGCAGCCACTGTGGAAAACAGTATGGAGATTCCTCAAAAGACAAAAAAAAAGAAAAAAGAAAAAGACTTATCACTTGATCCAGCAATCCCACTCCTGGGCATATATCCAAAGGGAACCTCAATCCCAAAAGATACCTGCACCCCAGTGTTCCCAGCAGCACTGTTTACAATGGCCAAGACATAGAAGCAACCTAAACGTCCACTGATAGATGACTGGATAAAGATGTGGTATTTAGATATAACAGAATATTACTCAGTCGTAACAAAGAATGAAATAATGCCATTTACAGGAACACGGATGGACCTGGAGATTATCACTCTAAGTGAAATAAGTCAGACAAAGACAAGTATCATATGATATCACTTATATGTGGAATTTTAAAAAATGATACAAATGAACTTATTTATAAAACAAAAACAGACTCACAGAGTTAGAAAACAAACTTAGGAGTTTGGGATTAACAGATACAAATTACTATATGTAAAACAGACAAACAACAAGGATTCACTGTAGAATACAGGGAACAATATTCAGTATCTTGCAACCTATAATGGAAAAGAACCTGAAAAAGAATAGGCTATGTATATGTACAACTGAATCACTATGCTGTATACCTGAAACTAACAAAACAGCTGTAGATCTGAAACTAACAAAACATTGTAAATCAACCACATTTCAATCAAAAAAAGAATACAACGATAAGCTCTAAATACCTTTTTTCAAAGAAAATCTTCAACTCTTCCCTCTTACAAAACTTAAAATGGGAAGCTTGAGCAGGACCAAATTATACTGGATGGGCAGTTACATGTCTTCCCCAGCACGTGGCCCATGCTACACACACATCGTGTTTTCCTTCAGGTAAGAATGGCCCTTACTGCCCAGGGAGCGAGTCCTGCTGGGACAAGGCCTCTATGGCAGTGGCCTTCTTGTCACCACTCCATCTCACCAGGAGGCCAGGGTTTTCAGAGGGGAGGGGACACAGAGCTCATACACTTCAAATCTATTTCCCAAGAAAAACTATGGAAAGACCAAATTCACCTGCAGTGCGGGAAACATGAGCAGGGCCCCTAAGCAGACCGGCAAGCCCAAAGCAAGACGGCCCGACGTTCACATCGGAACCTGAATAATGACCACCTGGCCCCAGTTAAATGACCACCGCCTCACCTGCAATGAACTACTCGTACTAAATGTCAGGGATGTTTCTGTTGAGACTTGGAGATCAAAAAAGTTGGACCAGGGAATCCGGACCTGGTTGATGTCAGGGCTCTGCCAGTGGTAGAGGTGGCCCCAAGGGGGTAGAACCAGTACCAGCTCCTCCACCTTCAGCAGGGTCTTCAGGAGGAAGGCAATGTGGATGCAGACGTCCCTGCGGAGGCTGAAGCCCTCTGGAGGGTTGAAGTCACACAGAAGGTACCTGGCAGGGAGCAAAGGAGAGCAGGTCTTCAGGGCCAGGCCTCTGCACAGGAATCCCAGTTTGATAGAACAGATACAACGGGAATCCCTGCACAGCCCATGGCCTAGACTCCAGACACATTCAGCAGCTTCTGGTTTGTAAAGTGGAGGGACTGCCCACCCATCTCCATGTGGCCAATTACTTCGAGTCCGGGAGCAGTTGCGGAAGACATCTTGGCATCTGCCTAACACCACTAAGCACCTGACTAGCACCTGAGCACCTGTTCTCCAGGGGCTCTGAAACTTCTTGGTCTACAGAACCCTATACACTCTTAACAATTCCTGAGAACTCCAAAAGGCTGCTATTTATGTGAGTTAAATCTATCAGTAGGTCCTGTGTTAGAAGTTAAGTAAGAACTTAAAAAAAGTGTATGAATTCACTTAAAAATATTAACAACCTACTACATGTTACCATTAATACTCTTAAACAAAAAATAAGTATATTTTTCAAAACAAAAATCATTAGAAGAACAGCAGTGATTTTAATTTCTGCAAATCTCTTTTGGACTGGTGAGAGCTGAATTCTCCTATCTGCCTCTGAGTTCCCTGTTTTGTGATATCGCAGGCCAGGTTTTCCCTGGAAAACCCCACAGGAACTCGGGAGACCAAGAGTGTACAAAATGTAGGGGACATCCCGGCGTTTGTATGAAAATGGTCTCGCAACTCAGGGGCCTTGGACACACTTTGATAACTGCTGCCCTATCCTAGGCGAGACTCTCCTACACAAAAGCCAGCATGGGTCCTGGATTCTGTAATGAGTTACCGCCACCACACCCCTCCCTTCTCTGTGTTAATGTTTCCCACAACCTCCATTACTGCAGATGAGGATGTAATCCTCAACTGGGGCCTCTAGTCCCAGAAGACTGCTAACTTCGAGAGGAAGGGTCCCATCTACCATCCCTACAGCCCGCACAGTCTATTTTGAGTCAAGCCCTAGATAACTGCTTATCGGCACTGACCCTTGTGTCTTATTCCTGAGGCTGACTGAAGTAACCAACGTCTGGATGGAACTGAAATTTCCCAGCAGATAAACAAGGCTGATAAACCACCCCATTCCCACATCTGATTCTGGGGCTCTTCAAATCCCGGGTAAGGCTCCGCTTCATCTAAGAGGGGTCCTCCGCCTGCCCTTCCCGGGAGGTTCTGGCAGGCCGCGGCCACCCAGGGTGATCCAGACTCGAGGCCCCAGTCCCAGGGCCTGAGGGGGAGGAAAGCCCGATGCTGTGCCACAGCCCTGTCCCCCCCCGCCCCAACCCGCTCCCCGGCACCACAGCCCCTCCCCGGCCGCCACTCCAACCCCGATCCCACCCCGGTTCATGTCCACCAGCCCCGCCGACGGCGCGGACGTACGTTTACCGTGTGTGGGACGCCGCCACAGACAGGATGTCGGTCGCCGACTGACCAGGCCAGAACTAGTCGCCCGGCCGAGCAAGCCGCCATCCCCAGCAGCAAGCACCGCCATGGTCCCGGGCAGCTACACGCTTCCGGAGCCCGTTGCCCGCCCCAGAAGCGCACGCCGACCCGTGAGGAGCGGGCGCCTGTAGCCAT